ATGTAGATGTTAAATAGGAGGGGGGACAAGACCGAACCCTGTGGCACACCACATTTGAGGGGCCTAGGGGTCGACCTTTGCCCCCCGACCAACACCGACTGCGACCTGTCAGAGAGGTAAGAGGAGAACCACCATAAAATGGTGCCTCTCACTCCCACCTACCCTAGGCGTCACAGAAGGATACCATGGTCGATGGTATCGAAGGCCGCTGAGAGGTCAAGAAGCACCAGGATAGAGGAATGTCCTCTATCCCTGGCCCGCCAGACATCATCAGTCAGCGCGACCAAAGAAGTTTCCGTGCTGTACCCAGGCCTGAATCCCACCACTGGGCGGTACTCATCTCCATTTCAAAGTCGAAGAGCCAGCACTGTCCGAAGAAGTCTCCGTGGTCATGTGGCTGGCATGACTCAATGCCGAAGCGCATGGAACACTATTGCCTTCCCACCAAAGGTGGTTCCTATTTTTCTACTTGCATTTTCACATGCTTTTGAACTGCTGGGACAAAACGGGAAGTCACTCTGCTACGCAGCGCTAGGGATTCGAACCGCTGAACTGCTGACCTTTCTGATCGACAAGCTCAGCATCTTAGCGACTGAGCCACCTCGTCCCCTTAAGTAACGATAGACATTCTCAAAAAATGAGGACAAACATCCAGATCTACCAGGCCATCCTCTTTCTGAGCTGCTTCGGATATAGAAATAACATTTTGAATAATTCTAGACCATCTTCCAATGTCTGGCTAAGAAACTTACCCGGATATGAATTTGTTCTCCCACGGTGGGGGCACTTTCTTGTTTTCGAGTGACATGCAGCCAGTCCACAAGAGGACGGATGGTCATCCCCTGCAACATAAGAGAAAAAACAGAAGGAGGAATGGGTAGATCCAATTCAAATGTTGGTTCAATCATCAGATAAATCACAAGGCTGGAAAGATACAAGTGATGGAGAAGTAGGGAGCAGATTTGAATGCAGATCTTAAACTTGAACTGGGCACCACCTCAGATGTAGCCACTGTAGCTTTTCTTAAACTGGGAATTACGTCTTGTTTTTAGGCTCTATTTATTTCCCATAATCTAATTTCTACCTTTCACTTATATTTTTAGAGGGGGAGGAGGAGGGGGAAGGGGAGGGGGAGGCTCAGGAAAGAGTAGTTTCAAAAGTTGTTTTTTTAAAAATAAACATGGAGGCTGACTCAAAGTTTTCTTAGGAAAGATGACCACCTGTCAGAAAAGAAGGCAAGATAAGTAGAGGTGTCAGAGACAGATTAATGGAGTTGGAAGGGACCTTGTAGGTCATCTAGCCCAACCCCCCTGCCCAAGCAGATGCTACACCATTTCTGACAGTCTCTTCTTGAAAGCCTCCAGTGATGAAGCTCCCACAACCTCTGAAGGCAACTTCTCTTCCATGGCTTGATTGCTCTCAGTCAGAAAATGTATCCTTATTTCTAGGATGAATCTCTCCTTGATCAGTTTCCATCCATTGTTCCTTGTCTGGCCTTCGGGTGCTTTGGAAAATAGCTTGACCCCCTCCTCCCTGTGGCAGCCCCTCAGATATTGGAAGATGTTATCATGTCTCCCCTGGTCCTTCTCTTCACTAGACTAGCCAGGCCCAGTTCCTGCAACCATTCTTCATATGTTTTAGCCTCCAGTCCTCTAATCATCCTGGTTGCTCTTCTCTGCACTTTTTCTAGAGTCTCCACATCTTTTTTTAAAGTGTGGTGACCAAAACTGGAGGCAGTACTTTAACTGTGGCCTTACTAGGGCTTTATAGAGTG